AGGGAATTCTCTTGGTAAGTCCGACGAAGAGAGCCAGAAATAAGAGAGATGAAGGGCACGCGAGGGCGAACGAGAGAAGCGGAGAGTGTAGGACGAGGAATGGAGAGAGGAAGGAAGAGGGAGGTAGGGAAAGAGTGAGAGAGAAATAAAGAAGGGAAGAGAATGACAGAGAGCTCTCGGGTAAGACGGTAGCCCGGTGATTTGTATAGGGCCCCTCGTGTTCCACCTCTCGGAGCGAGTCTCCATCCCCACGCGGAGGCGCAGGCCTACGGGCCCAGGAATGTCGGACGAGGAGGCGAGTGAGGGCCTCGATCGAGGAAAGGATGCTGAGGCGGGGAAACGAACCTAGCAGGTCCAGCGGATGCCCCGACGGAGCCACGCTGCGCCACGACAGGGACGCGCAATGTCCTTCTCTCTCTCTCTCTCTCTCTCTCTCTCTCTCTCTCTCTCTCTCTCTCTCTCTTTTTTCTTTTTTTCTCTTTTACTTCGAATCTTTCATAAGCGACGCCTCTGGCCACCTTAGTTCCCTTCGACGTTATCCACCGTCCCGCCTGCAATGGGTAGATGGGAGAGAGAAAGACGGAGAACGGAGAAAGACCGAGGGAGGATAGGCGATGAGAAAGAGAGAGAGAGAGAGAGCCTGCGGCTCACTAAAATTGTCTAACTCGAACGTGGGCTCTTACGTCAGTGTAAATAGGATATACCTTGTCGACTTCGCGCTTTGCACACGAAACCCGTGTCCTTTTGATACGGGCCTGATTCCACTGACCTATCGTGGCATCGGGAATCGTGCAATAGGCCAAGTCCGTGCGTCCGTGACGGTTCTCGCATGAATGGATCATTCATAAGGGATAATAGCGTTTTGTAAATTAAAACGCGTCCTCGTTTGATTTATAATGCGCGTTCGCTAATGAAGCCCCGTAAGAAGACGAGAGCGCGGAGGCGCGTTGCTCGCAGGTCGTTCTGGAAGGAGAGGTTTAGGATTCAGCCGATATATCGGGTAGCAGCTGGCAGGGCTCTACCTGGGCTTCCCTCCTCTTTCTCCTCTTTCCCTCTTGACCCCTTTCATCTTTTTCCTCTTCACTCTCCTCTCTCTCTCTCTCTCTCTCTCTCTCTCTCTCTCTCTCTCTCTCTCTCTCTCTCTCTCTCGGTCCCTTGGCCCTTCCTCATTCTTTTTCCTCCTCCTCTCTTGCCGCTCTCCGCGCTCACCCTGATATATGTAACGTGTTTTGTTTCTCGGAATAATTTGATCGGGATGAAATATGCGATGAGCTCCGGATAGTACTCTCCTGCCTTCTTGGCTTCATCCTCCGAGCAGCTCTCTTGGCTCTTCGTGGAGGGATAGAGAAAGAGAAGTAGGGTGGCTGGGCAGGCGGGAGGGAGAGAGGAATCAGCCACATCTTATCCTTCTCATCCCGCTCAACGAAACTCCATCCATCTTCCGTAATGCAACGTAATGCCCCTTGCCCTCTCTCTCTCTCTCTCTCTCTCTCTCTCTCTCTCTCTCTCTTACTTACACCACGCGCGGGTGTACGTCGCTCGCGTATCATATACGAGCGAACTTTTCTGAGAATCTATATTATTTCCTGGAGTAGCTATCATATGTGTATAGTCGTATCGTTAAATTAGTATCCGACGAACCCGCGCGTTCGCTCCAGTCTTCCTTACTCTAGGCGCGTTAAATCTTAAGACGTCTAGACTCCCGAGGAAATTTAACTGGACCGTTGATGAGGTCCAGCCGTCTTATGGGTACCCGGAGCACCCACGTTCTCTGAAGGTATGCGAGTCCTCCCGGGGATGACGCGTCACTCGGGCACGGGGTGGCGCGACTAATGCGGAATGCCACCACCTCGACTGACCATTGGCTACGAGAGAACCTTTTTCAACTACCTTTTGCACTAGCCTCACTCAAGTGTCCAGGAGGCAGGTTGCTGCGAATTGACATTTAGGAAAATCACTGATGAAATCAGGACAAAATATAAATTGGGAATCGCGTCTAATGAAGAATTACGTGTAAATCTGTCGGCAGCATTTTAAAGAAAAAATATATTTCTCAAACGGTAATATTTCAAAATTTCGATACGTACGTCCCGGTACAGTTTGCGAGTCGCAGGTAAGAGGTATTTTCGAAAAATGCACCAAGGCCACAGTGGTATTGAGAGACGAAGCGGTAAACCCTTATAATTCTTGTACGAGGATCGAGATAAATAATCTCTCGATCTGGCCAATAGTTAGCCGTCATAACAGCGCATTCCATCGGAGCGAGCTCCGTACGAGAAGGTCGAAACTTAATCCTTCGGTGGCCTCTCCTTCGCAACGGCCTCGCGTATCTCATCTTCGGGGAAGCTATCTGGCTTACTAGGAAACTCGCGTATGCCCTTCGTATATACATATAACCATCGAGTATCGCGTTTCTTCGTGACGACGGGGGGAGGTGGGCGTACCGGCGTGCATGGTACTTACGCTTACATCTAGGCACCAAAAAGGAGGCTCGAAGAGGCGCAATGGAGGAAAAGGCATGGACCAAAGAAACAGCGATGATAAAAATGAAAATAAATAGACGGCAGTACCCACGCCGCTGGCATCCTCCGATGCCTTCTCCGCGTAGAGATCGGCCTACGTAGTATAACCAATACCCCGAAGAGCGAAGAGGAGTCAAGTGGAATGGAATGAGCTGGTAGTAGAGATGTTCGAGCAGGATTCTTCGCTCCAGGTAATCGGGCATGATTACGTAGGTAATTACGGTTACGGCGAGTTGTTGCGACAAAGAGGTATTGTTTCATTCTGGGAAACCGACAGCTTCACTGGGATCCTCTCTCGACGGTTCTTCTCGTCACGCTATACCGCCAACCGAGGTTCGATCCAGGGATCCTCTTCCGTTCACGAAACCGCGTCCTCGATCCCCCTCGGAAGATGGTCCAGAGTTCAGTTGCTCATCCGATCTATACGGTCGGCTCCCTACGCGTCCTCCGATAGCTTTAAGCGCTCGTGGTTCGGTTCTGCATGCCATTTACCCGGGTCTTTGAGTTTTAGTCCCAAAAGACCGGAGAACCCTGACTGGACATACTTCGGTAACGGACAGCCCCATCTAGGAGCGACCCTTCTCATTAGTTCTCGAGGCAAGTGCGTTTCGTCGATTTTGGTACGTCCGTCCATTACTCCCTCCAAGGTAACGTCCACTGGTCCGTGAACTGCAGAAAAAGTTATAAAAAAGGACCCAGAAGCAGTCTCTTCCCTGGTTAACAGCAACATACACTCTCTCTCTCTCTCTCTCCGCGGGGACTTAGACACGGCTATTACGATCCCTTGCGGTTTACAATTTTACTTATCGGGCCAGTTTGTTTTGGCATTGTCCAAACCATCCCTGTCCTTGTTTATTTCACCTACCGACACATCTCGTCGAATGATTCTTACCCTCGCGGTAGCTATCTTCCTTCGGGGAAGCGTGGGGCCTTGGTCGGTGAAAAAAAAAATTTTTTTTTTACTTTAGGTAAACTCGTAAAAAGTAGAAGCCGAGTTAGCTAGGACTTGGTCAGGGCGTGGCGAGTAAGTAATGTAAGATCTTGCTTGGTTCGTCGCTGGAGGGGATCTTGGGACGCGATGGGCCCCATGGGAGGCTACGCGAGGGTCGGGGTCCGTAGCCCGCGGGCAACATTCCCCAGTAATGGTTGGGTTATACCTTGGGTAACACAGGTGCCCTCCGCCATCGAGGGATCGGGCCCCAAAGGACTGACTTACGAGTTACGAGTTGGGACCTTCGATAGATATCGTTTCAGTTATTATCTATATACGGGGTGTCCCATTTTAATCGTCCCACTCGATTATCTGCCGAACGAAGAATGACCCACCGGCAAAATCTGTTCCGTGGAAATCGACGGACGGAAAGAAATTATTCTCGGATCAGATTATCTCCGGGAGATAATATTTCGACAGTAGGTAGCAGCATCCTTTCGATGGAAGTCTCTGCCGACCGTCAAATATAAAATACCCTGCTTATGCATGACGAAATCGTAAGGCAATTAAGGCCCATCGTCATTAATATATTATTTTCTCCTTGAAATTGCTAATAAATTAAAATACAATCAATCAGATCGATTAAAATATACTTCGATCTAAATAACCCACATCCCCATACGCCTTTGTCACCATTTTATCATCTCTCTTCGATCATCAACGATCTCCTCCACATCGCAATTTTCGTTGCACTCGAGCGCGCTGAGTTTGCCTCCAGCTTTCATCGAACTGGGTAGAAACGAAAATGGTTGGTGGGGTACAGTGGGTGGGGGGGGCCCCCCCTCCGGGGACGTGATTCACGGCATAAAGAAAGAATGGGATCGAACGGACGGGGATAAAATGGACTCTCGATAAAAACTCGAGGATTCCAGGCACGTCAAGTTGATCCTCGTATCGTGTCCTATTCCCACTCACGTTTTCTAAGTAGCCACACAGAAATCAATTCTAGTCCATTTCAATGAGGGGGATTGAACAAATAGTCTCTAAATTGGCGGCCATATTAAACGTGTACTGTGAGACATGCGTGTCTAATGCTACCTATCGTTGCCTTATATACTCCCTCAGATATTCCATTCTCCGTCGCTTCCTAGTAATCTATCATGATTTATCCCAGTTCGAGCTGGGATCGGTAAATTTTTCTTGAATACGTCAGACACTCCTTGATCCATCGCTAGCCACTTATACGTACTCCAATAGTGAATGCATCGCATTCCATTGGTACCCATGGCTTTTATTCCAGAGTATAATAAAGTCTCCCCATTCGATCAGTCATTCATTTCTCGAGACGCGCTCGATGCATCCCGCATACTGCTCTCGGGTCTCCGCTGCATTCCACACGGAATGCATTACATCCCCTGCTCTCCTTCCTCCATCCTTGGCTGGCTGCATCGCGGAATGCGGCTCAGCGCTTCTCTACACTGGCCGCGGCGCGCGGGGCGAGGACGAGGATCGAGGAGGGAACGTCTGTATCTCGAGCAAATCGAAATATGCTAAATACTGGGTGTCCCGAGAATTCGCATTACAATGCCGAGCCGATCCTTATTGTTTATTGGTCCGTCGTTACGTCACGGGGATCGATCCTCGGTGATTTATCGCTGGACTCGAGGAATGCAGCGGGAAAAGGAAAGTGGAAATGTCATGAGGATGGGGGATCGATTGGTCAATTCGTGTCTAGTCGTCGGCCAGACGACGTTATCGCGAGATGGCCCCTCGCGTCGGACGAAACATGATGAATTAAAGAAAGTTATCAGCCGTAGACAAATTGAGTTGACATTTATTGGACCGTATTAAGAGTCTTCCATCCCGAAGATATTCTAATGTCCGTGACAGACGGGGACAAGTACCTCCATCACATATGTATACGTGTATTATATAAATTAACGATACCGTCAATTAGTGAATGACTTTGGCGCTATGCGGTATACAGGTAACAATGACGCAAGCGATATCTTTATTATTATTTTATTATGAATTCGCCACGTGAGCCTCGTGGTAATCGCTTAAGGGGCTATTTTCGGCATTCCTTATCAGTGGGCACTTGCTCTCTCGTTCTCTATCCTCGATACTCTCGGAGAACGAAGGGAAGATGTATGGCACGTATGTATATATGTATATATGGATGCGTGTAGATATACATTGGATGTATCTCTAAGTACGGTGCAGCTGCAATGGTCAGTCGAAGCACGGCCGGAGCCCAGTTCCAGTTCCAGATCGAGTTCCAGGTCGGAAAGCGTCGCGATGTCGTATCGTAGGGCCCAGTCCGAGTAGGCCCCGTGTGGGCAGGACAGGTTCGGGCCCTCTCATTCACGAACATCAGTGCCGAGCTCTTTCATTGTTTCGCTCGTTTAGGTGTATCGGCATTTCGGACCGTCGGTCGTGCAAAAAGTCAAGCGAAGAGAATGGGGCCCCGACGAACAACCATATCGGGCTAGTGGCGATGCGTCTACCGTGTGCGGGTACGTTTCTGTCTGGACCCCCCGTACCTACATACATTTAGGCTAGCCAACAATTGCCAAGATTCAGGAATACAATATCTTTTTGTCATAAGCATGTTTCAGAGACCCAAGATGGATTTGGATCCTTGCGGTTTTTTTTTTTTTTTCAGCCCAATAGCAGAATCACACTTATCACTGCGATTAGTTCTCTCGATATACATATATAGGTGTTAATGCTATACGATCAATTGTAATTTTTTCGTTTCCCTGTAACTTGCTGTACGCGAGTGCTTAATGCTAAGTATGCAATTGCACATTCATTCAATCAGTTGCACTCTAATGAGCGTACGCTTTTTTTTTTCTTTGTACATGTTACAGACGGCGAGTACCTCTTCGTGGACCCCGAGAATAAGCTGAGCAAGTACGCACCTAAGAACTGGCGGAGTTCTCATACATACGTAAGTCATTGAATTTCTGAGATATGAATGAAAAAAAAAAAAAAAATAATTTGAACGTAAATGTCAAAACGTATGGGATTACAACGCGAACGTATTTAGGGCTAGTTTTTATAGGCAAAGTATCATCGCGGGACGTAGGGAGTAAGAGCATAAACAGGGGTAAGCGGTGGTCGAAGTGGGAAGAGGGTTAGAGCGAGGGATGAAAAGAGGGAAGAATGAAACGAAGTGAGAGTGGTGGCAACCT